TCCTTCCCCACAAAACCCAACATGCTAAATTCTTATTCAAGTCGCCGTGCCCTTACGCAAATCAGCCGATGTCATAGAAATTAAATTTTTTGTGGTCTAAAGGCTGGTTCACGCTAGCGACGGAATCGGAATGGGAAGCTTTGACCAATGACAGAGCTCATACCCAGGCCATTCAGAGCAGAAAACATGGCGGCAAACCTGGTAACTATGGGAACAACAAAGAAGCGAGCGCCGAAGCGAGGCTTACGATTCCGCTTGCGTTGTTTTGACTCACACTAGATCGTAAGCTTCTTGCGCTTCTGATTCCGCTTCCGATTCCGACTCCGACGCTTACGACGCTAGTATGAACCAGCCTTAACTAATTAGGCAAGTAAATGATCTTCGTTTTATTGTTTGTTTATTTGCACATACATGTCACTGCAGTGACAGGCCTTGGTTTTCTCATTCTCCATCTTGGAGCAAGTAGCAATGCAATGATGAGTCATGGCGGAGAAGTTGTTGATGGTAAGCTCAGTTTTAGTTTAATTACTTGTGTGTCTTTTCGTTTCACATTTTTTCCCTCTTGCTTATTTACTTGCATAAATGTGTGTCCGTGCGTCTTTCCGTTTCCTGCATTCTTTTATTGGATAGACCCCTTGCAGTYGGAATGCATCTCAATTTGGAGGACATAACAATAGGTTTCCAATTCTCAGGAGATTGGGATTCTTTTGTTTTGTCCTCCCAATTGAGTTGCTTTGACGTCACATGCAAGGGGTCTATTGATTGATAGTTTGTTTGTTTTCTGCCTTCGTTTTACGTGCTTGGTCAATACATTTATTGCTATCCTGTGTGCAGGGGTGGTCTACGCTCCTAATGTGTCGTCCTCTCATTAATGTTAAATTTTCGAACGGGGTAGGGTCGGTTCACGATCCCTCCGTGCCCAACACRTTAAATAGAATATTACATGTAGTGCTCGGTGTGAGTGACAGTTGGCCGCAAATAGAAACACATTGTACTGATTTTGTAACCCACTATAAAGTGATTTATTATTTTGTTTATTTTATGTTTAGATGGAGCTGTTGTGTACCTATCCCAGTTCCACACACAAAAACTACGTCAAAGTCTTTACGAGCATTCCAACTGTTACTTCTATTTGGGCGATAGATTTGAAGTCGTACACTTCGAACTGCGATGGCTGCAAAATCCACAGCAACCCCAGCCGGCACAAACCAGAGTCCTTAAAACCACCCATGAGCCATCGAACAAAGAGGAGTTCCCAGGGACAGCGACTATTGACGTCAGACACTCTGGCCATACAGGTGAAGTAAAAAAGCTTGCTAGTGCTGGCGTTGGAGATGCGTTGTTTTTTATTCGAAGTATTGAGAATAGGATCAAAATGGTTTGTATGGAACCACTTATGATGCAAGCCAATAAGATGAAAGAAGGTGAAGCTAAGAAGCTGATACTGCGGGTATCGCTAAAAGAGGGAATCAAGGTAATTAGAATTAAATACTGCTCTCCTTACAATATTTCAGATTTACGTTTAAATGCACCTGTCATGACGCATTTATAATTATTTTTCATTGAAAGATGATTTGCCTCTTTATAACCAATCCCAATCACGAATACTCCGATTTCAAGTTCACCTTTGCTCAATCTTAGCCTCGATTGTGTACGACCGTGTTATTTTCTTATAATTTAATAGATCTTAAAAGATCTGTTCTATATTTAAGCAATAAACTTTTTCCGTGTTTACATAGCCTGATAGCAACACGAGGGGAGGTTGGGAGAATTCGAGACAGTTATACAAACCCGAGAC